ACAACCTTCAATGACAGAACGTTTTTTTCTCTGATGTGTCCTTTAAATCTTTTATGATACATCTTAATTTCATGTTTGCTTTTTTTCTTCCCACTATTCATTCACTTTTCAAGAAACATCTCATGCAGGACTTGAAGATTATTATTTAATAGTTCCTCTGTCTTCTCCAGATTTAATTATCTCAGTTTTTAAATTTGTCTTCACTGATCTTATTTTACAACGTTTTAATGGTTTCTGTGGTCCTCTTATTTCTCTCTCATCTGAGAACATCTTTCTTCTGCAATCCTTGGCTCAAGATTTTATGATTTATAAAGAAAGGATGGTGATGAAGCCCCTTTCTTCAGTGACAGCTAAGGGTGTCCCTCTGTCTATACGCATCCCCCAAGAGACAGAAGATTATTTAGGGAGTGGGAATGGGGTTGTCCATTTAATTCCTGGGACTGTATGCAACGATGTTAAAGAAATAGCAAGGGAGTGTGTTACTGAAAAAGTCTCATTCTGCATTTTACTTAAACTTTGTCTGTACTCCTCTTCCATAAGAACTTCATAAGAAGCCCTGAACATAAAAGATATAAAGCCTAATTTCTTTCTTTCTGTGGTGTATCAGTGCAAAGGTTGGATGGGGCACAATGCTAATAAAATGAAGTCAACATGCTAGTGCCCAGTGTTCCCCTTGGGATTAAGCACTCACAGCCCACTCTAGTCACAGACTTGATAACATAAACTTATGGCTCTTTACCTTCCCTACCCTCTTTCCCTTTCTCCTACCAGAGCTTCCTGGGGGCATCTCCCAAGTATACCACTTCCTCTTTGTCCCAGGGTTTGATTCTGGGAGAACCCAAACGAAAAAAAGCACTACTCAAACATTTGCCGTGGGAACATGGCCATTTCTCTAGGTAGTGATGACGTAGGAAAGGTACAGGGTGGAGTTTCCATGAGGCACCTGCTGCTTCTTGTCACTGTTAACAAAGCTGAAGTCTGTTAGCCTCAGAAATGGATGTGCTGCAGCAGCAACAGAATCAGGTTATGCCATCTTCTCCCAGAGCAGCTGGGAAGAGAGGAATTCCAAAATTGTAGGAATGGGAAAGTTCAGGCCTAGGGAAAGCCTACGAATTGCTGGTGTTTAGAGAGATGACTGTTGTTTTTCTCCTGAGAGCCTCGTCCGTCCCGTGCTTGTTTGCTATTTTAAGTGGGAGGATGAGCGACGATGGGAAGTCATCAGTGGTGTGTGGGACTGTCTTCTAACGCCTAAAAAAGGCAGAGGCTAGGGTGCTTTGATAAATGTAGCTTTGCATCAACTCCCCAGGCACAGACCAGCATGTGTCACTGGAAAGTTGTTTCTGTAAACTGAGTAGAAGTAAAAACAGTAGGTTAACTACCCCTTCTTCCTGTTGACCTGACCCATGCACATTTTAGTAAACCAAGTCATCTCACAGAGAGCATTGTCTATGGCTGACATACCTCCATTAGAGAGCAACACCCCTGGGCCCCCTGAAAGGAACAGTGCTGCAGGGCCAATGGAATAGGAGAATTCCAGCTTCGAGTATGGGGCTCTGGGCTGCGAGACTCACAGTTTGGGACACCCCGATCCCCAGATGTGCACCAGAAGTGACCTGGAAAAAGGAAGGTCAACTGTGAATTCAAGAGGCTACTTCCTACTGGATACCTCATCTCTATTTTTAAAAATAACAAGGTGTGGCTAGAATCTATATGAAGGATACAGGGAGGCTAGAAATGATGTCATAGGCCACCCAGATGTTACCTTACTCCCACCAGCATCCAGAGAGAGTATTTGTGCCAAAGCCAATGAAGCAAATAAAACACATGCCTTGGCTCCCAGCCACCTCTTAGAGATAGCGATGGGGAGACAATGAGGGGGGAAATGTGTTATTATTTTTTAAAATACAGCTTTACTGAGGTGTAATTGATATACAATGAACTGTGCATATTTAAAGTGAATAGTCTGAGGAGTTGACACCTGTGAAACCATCACCACCATCAAGATGATGAATAAATCTACCATCTCCAAAATCTTCCTTGTGCTCCTTGGGGATTTCTCCTTCATTTCCCATAAATCTCTACCACTGATCTGCCTTCTGTTTTTGCATTTCCTAGAGTTTTATATAAGTAGACTCATACAGAATGTACAGTACAGTGAGCTCCTTTGCTCACCATAATGGCTTTGGGATTCATCCATGTTGTTCGGTGCGTAAGAGTTTGATCCTTTTATTGCCAGTTATTGTTCCATTGTATGCACATACAATATACTTTTCCATTCACCCAATGAGGCACATTTAGGTTGTTTCCAACTTGGGCCTATTAAAATAAAGATGCTACCAACGTTCGGGTATAAGTCCATGCATGAATATATGCTTTCATTTCTTTTGTGTGAATACTTAGGAGAAGAATGGCTGTTTGTATGTTTACCTTATTAAAAATTGTGGCAATCTTTTAAAGGTACTCACATAGCATGTTTAGGATCTACGACAACCAAAGACACTGTTAGAAAACTTCAGAGAATTTGGAAGTTGAGTGTTAGGATGATATCTTCCTACAGCTAATACATAGGTGTATAATCGATAATATATTATGAAACGCTGAAGGAAGCGGGGAGAAGATACTGTTTCCTTGGAAAGAATTCTCCTATCTTTTCAGGATTCTCCAAGTACAAAAGTCTTATGGGGCTCAATTCTCCAGGTGATCGTGGTGCTGGTGGTGGTGATGGTGATGGTGGAAAGGAACGTAGTTGCTGGACTATGTTTGGAACCAGCTGGAAAAGTCTCCCAGCAGAAGACTCAGCTTCCTCCGTAAGCTGCTGTCTGATGTCCCAAGCCCTGCCTGACTGGAAATTAAGAAAACCAGAAATAGATTTTGTATCTCTCCTGCCTAGAGACACAATTACATTGTGACCTGGAAATCTGGTATTGGTTATGAGCCCAAAATTAATTGGAAGCCAGGTTTATTGCTGGGAACCTTCAAATTCCAGGAGGGGCAAAAATTACAAAGGGGAGATCTCATTAGTTGTTCCTAATCCTTAGCCCATGAAACAGGCTGCAGAAATGTTAACATGAGCTGACCCCCGACCACACTAGATATGAGAAGAGTGATGATTATTAGAAACCCACAGAGGATTCTCACCGGAGGGCAAGAACTGTCCTTCCCTTACACTTAAGGTGGCTCATCCACTGCCCCGAGTTCACCAGTCGTGACCCACAGGTACAGATGAGAAGCTCGGGGTGACTTCTCCGCACTTGCACCCACGGTGTGGTCCATAGAGTAGCAGGGGCAGCATCTCCTGGGAACTTGTCAGAAAATAAGAATCTCAGGCCCCACCCAGAATGACTGAATCAGGATCTGCAATTTAATCAGGGTCCCAGAGGAAACATATACACAGGTTAAGAAGCACTGGTTGAGATGCATGCTTTTCTTGCAAGTTACAAGTCCCAGAAAGCACTCAGTACAGATCGGGTATTATTTAGCTATCATCCAATTATGCTTCACAACAAACTATCCCAAAACTCAGTGGCCTGTGACAAGAAACACATATTCTCATGCTTGTGGGTCTATGGGTGGCTGGGTTTCAGTAGATCTAGGCGGGCTGGGTTCCAGGCTGAGGTTTGGGTCTGGGTTTCTTCCATGCATCTCCCAGATTACTGCAACCAGCAGGCTACCTGTCCTGCATTTCTCTCACGGTGATGAAAAATCACAGAAAGGCAGAGGCAAGCCCGATGGACAAGCACACCCCAGCCTTTGCTTGGGTCACACCTATTAGCATCCCATCAGCCAAAACGAGTCACAAGGCCCAATAAAGTGGCCAAAGGCATGGGCTTTGGATTTGTTTCAACTCAACATCTGTTTCTTATGTGTGTGCCCTTAGGCAAAAGTCTCACACCTCTCTGGGCCTCTGTGTCCTATTCAGAAAAATGAGATAATGAAAGTTATATCCCTGGGAGTTTATAATGCTGTAAGGACCATCCTTGGTGCATAGGAATGGTTTAACTCACGGATGCTGGTATTACAGAGCAGTAAAACCTTGGACAAGTCACTTCAACTCTTTGCATTTCATTTTCCTTATCTGAAAATAGACATCCTAAAAAAATAAAATTAAAAGAGACATCCTAATGGGATAATTCTACTGATTTTTGAACTTCACCTTCAAACCTGGTGATAATGATGGTGATGGTGATACAAAAGCTAACGTTGAGCCAAGCACTGCTGTAAGAACTTTAAATGTATTTGCACCTTTAATTCTCATTATAGCCCAATGAAGATTCTCTTCATTGTGCAGCTGAAGAAACTGAGGCAGAGCAATGTCAGGAAATCAAGGTTTAATGTCTGATTGTTCTGAGCACCTCCTATGCGGGGAAACATATCACAGAAGGGATGCAGTCCAGGCTGGCTCCATGTGCTGACACACATTGTGCCTCATGCCAATCAGCGATGCTTCTAAAAAGGTTATTCCTGGCTTCTTCTCTCATGTGGGAGAAGGAAAGGAAAGAGCAGGGACAGCTAAGGAGAAGAGACTGGGAAAGAGCTGGCCTCCTGGTTAAACAGCCCCTCTTCCCACCCCACCCACCATGTGGCCACGTCCAAGTCCACGTCCCGGGAAGCGGATGCTGGATGGACATGTGAACATCTCCAGTGGGAGCCAACCATTGCCCAAGGCTGTGTTGTGGAGCTGCTTAGCCTGACTCTGGGCTGCAGTCGAGCTGAGGGGAAGGGTGGGGCCCAAAGGACCCTGCCTCTGAGAAATCAGACCCAGAAAAGCCATGGGTTGCTCTGTCAGCACTGGATTCCACCAAAGGTTGTTTCTGAGTCAAGATACACACGTCGGGCTTCCCTGGTGGTGCAGTGGTTGAGAGTCCGCCTGCCGATGCAGGGTACAGGGGTTCGTGCCCTGGTCTGGGAAGATCCCACATGCCGCAGAGCGGCTGGGCCCGTGAGTCATGGCCGCTGAGCCTGTGCGTCCGGAGCCTGTGCTCCGGCAATGGGAGAGGCCACAACAGTGAGAGGCCCACGTACTGCAAAAACAAACAAAACAAACAAACAAAACAGATACACACGTCCCTCTCCTTCCATCTTCCTTCTGAATGGTTTCTCTTGTGCAGTGTTACTGCTTAAAAATCGCGTGTTCCATGGTAGGGATGGAACCGTGGCCGCAAATATGTTATTCATCACCCACTGAGCTTTAACAATCGAAGCCTGCAACCACTTTCCCTGACGAAGGGGCACCCTTTCCTACCTTCCTTTCCCAGACATAACAAGAGAAACAGGACATGCTTGGGGACAGGAGTTTCACAAGCTCTCTGAGCTGTATATTCTGCTTTCTAATTATGGTTGCTGGCCAGGAGAATCTCTTCCTTGTGACTAATCAGATTTTCCCTTTCCTCAGTGTGTCACAAAGTCTATTTCCTCAAGGTCTTCCGAGGAACAAGTGGTCAGGGTTTTTTAAATGTTTCCCATAGTTGAGAGGAGTATCATATTTCCTTTTTTGGTTATGGCATTACATTGCTAATATCTGATCAGCTTGTGGGTGACTCTGGTTCTAGATCTTTCTCTGTCATTCTTCCCAAGTCTCTGACTGCCCTGTACCCCCAGTGAATTTTATCCTTTCTTTTGCTTTGGTTCTGACAGAACTTGTCTCATACTTTGGATATGTTCTATAACACCCTCTCTCTTCTTCCTTTGCTCCCTAAATGTTGAGTTGGGACCAGTCTCATTTCAACGATCTTAATAGCTTATTAATTTTGTGATTGTCACAGGGGTTTGAGCACTGACTGGGTAGGTCGCTAAAATAGAAAAAATAACTTTTAATACCATATGACTGATAGAAATGTGAAATCACTATATTATCCCACCAGAATGGCAAATTGAAAACAAAAACAAAAACTGAAGACACCAGATGTTGGCAAGAATGTGGAGCACCCACAGTGAATATAAACTGATATGAACACTTTAGAAAATTGTTTTCCAGAGTAACTACTAAGACAGAATATATACATACCCTCTGACCCAGCAGTCCAATCCTGGGTATATACCCAATAGAAATGTATTCATCTGTGGACTTAAAAACTGGAAAAAGAATGCTCATAACAGTGCTAGTTAAAATAGCCCCAGACTAGAAACATCCAAAATGCCAATCAACAGTAGAATGGATAGTAAGGCAGTAAGTGTAAACACTGGGAAAGAGCAAACAACTGCACACAACATGTACAACTTCACAAATGTAGCGTCGAGTGGAAGAAGCCAGCCACAAAAGAGGACATGCAGGATCATTCTGTTTATGTTGAATAACCAGGAAAAGCTAATCTACGCTATTGGAAGAGAGGACGCCGGCTTCCTTGCCAAGGAAGTAACTAGAAGGGAGTACACGGGGGCCACCTTGGGGCTGGTAATGTTCTGTTTCTTGATCTGAGTGTTGGTTACACGGGTGTGTTCAGTTTGTGAAATCTCATTGAGCTCTATGGTTATATACGTGCATTTTTCCGTATGTATATCATACTTCAATTAAAAATACAGCAAAGAATGCAGCAGGCAGGGTAGATAGTAGAGAAGAGATGGCCATTTTTCACTGAGAAAGGCACCCGGTAGGCTGGAGTTCACTCCCTGTGCTCCCTCATGTGTGCTACCCCGCAGACTGGTCTCCAAATTTTAATGAGTGTGGACTAGTTTCGGTGTTAGGGGGCATCCTCCTCTGCCTCCGTAGCCCAGGGCTATTGTTATGACATCAAAGACCAACTGCTGGCCAAGATACAGTCCGTATGAAAAGAGTGACCAGCAAATTTACTGCTTGACTTCACTCCCTTTAAATGGAACTGGCCCCACGGTCCTCTTTCAAAGCTCAGTTGTGAACATATATCTTCTTTATAGGACACCGTGTACAATAAAGCGAGGCAGTAACTTAAATTTTTTTTTAAAAGAATACCTTTGAGAGCACTGCAAGATGGGCATTCCATCACTGTGGTTACATATGCCCAAACACTCCCCAAAGTCTAACCATTGGTCTGAGAGCCTTCTATTCAATATGGTGACTTTTTTGACTAATTGAGTTATATTTTTATGCTCCAACCCTTTCCCTAGGGTCTGCAAGGTCTTGGGAAAGTCATTCAAGAGAGGGGATCTGCCTCAAATCAAATCAGAGGGCCACCTCACCCAACTTGGGCAAAATGGCAAAGTTTATATACTGTTACTCATTAACTTATTTGAAGTTATCCTTCATGGAGTAAACATTTTTTAAGGACTGAGGCCAGACTAAGCTCCTGGATCAGTTCTATGCAGTCCCCCAATATCTACACGGACAGCATTTCTTTATATCACCCTGGTGCGGAAATCTCAGGGAGTTGTTAGCATTTACACATACTAGAACTGGGCGAGGAAGGAATGGAGCTGTTTGTACGACTCTCAGAAAATGAAGCACCTTATTCCCTAAGAGGGAAATATAGAGGGAAAATAGCTCCAAGCATACAAGTAAAATGACTTATAATTTAAAGGATGTCTTTGGCTTGACTTGGAGTCTTTCTCCAGGTGGTGGAGACTGAGGCACCTGCAATCAACATTACCAGCCCAAGCGGAATCATCCAGAACGGACCTTCCAATATACGATCACTTATTACAGCAGCGAATCCGTCCTCGGAGGTTACAGCATTTTAAAGAGTGGCCAAGTCAACCTGGCTCGGAGCTTCCCCTTCTGTTTAATCCATTACTCTTGAAAAGTTCAGCACGCCACACTTTGCTGGAAAAAGGCTAATGACTGGGCAGAACCTTTGCTTTCTGCTCCCCTGGCTGGCACGTTCCGGAAGACACACCAACCGTATGAATGGCTGCAATCTTCCTGCTGAGATTTTGATGGAGGCCAAATACTCAATTCCAAAGACACCTAGGAAATGAGATCAGTCTCACCTTTAAATAAGAATGAGCATCACCTGGAAGACATTGGAAGTATTTGGAGAGGCCGTGGAATCCCAAGAAAGTGACTGCGATATTGAACTTCAGGTGGGAGTGATGGGAGCCAGGCTCCCTGGAAGGCACCTGCGCAGGCAGCTTTCCTGTTCCAGGTTCTCCCCGCTGGCCTCGCCACCCTGAAGCACCATCCAGTGTGGTCCCCAGGCCCCACAGGGCTTCTGTCACTGCGTATTCTCTGCCCCGTGCTAGGCTCTGCAATAACCCCCAAATGAACGTCAATATCCTTGGCCTTAAACTTGCTCAGAAATGGGGAAGGAGGGGAATAAGAGAAGGGAAGTGGGCCTGCTCAGACCCAGTAAACTCAATTACAGAATGATGTGGCCCCAAGTCAGAGGAGACATGTGTGCCGCGGGGCCAGGAAGAGCATGATTCACATCATCCTCATGTGAATGAAGGACGGGGATGTGAACACAGGGGAAAACAAAGAGAGAGAATCACAGCTTCAAAGAGCTACCCTCTAATTAAGGAGACGCATCTTTTCCCTGGGCCTCTGAATGGTTGCTCCAAGATTGCTCAAACCACTAACTCAATTTACTTTGCTCGGAGGGCTCCCGGGTGTGTCCATTGTTCCTTTGGGTTGGGGTTCTTCGTGCCACTTAGGATGGGGTATACAAGAAGCGCCGTGGAAACCTGCCAGTGCAGTGGGGGCTGCCTGGATGCCGGGAGCTGCCAGAACACTACACAGACTCCCTTTAAAAGAAAAATTCGGCGCCCACAAAACCCCACGTGTTCAGCCTGGAGTGACCTCGGGGGGCCATCTGTGGGCTCCCCCTGGAGATCCAAGGAAAGCTGGATGCTGGCAGGGAATGGCTATGGCTGTGCCCCTGGAAGTTTCTGTCTTGGTCCTACAATATGACTAGGATGCCTTTTGTGTCTACAGGATATGTGGGCACATGGCAGGTGCTCGTGTATACAAGGCTCACTACACACGGCTGCGCACATGCTCAGTGCCCTGCTCTCTGGGCTGAACGGGCTCCTCTAAGTTCAACGCCAGCCCCACAACCACGGTGAGGCGCTCTGCTTAGGAGGCAGGTTGCAGACACTCACCAAATCCTAGAATTTCACTGTTGGCAAAAACCTGGAAAACTGAGTCCTGACATCTCTTATATACGAGGAATCAAAAACCCAGAGAAATGAAAGGACTTGCCCAAGACCATAATACTCATTCCAGGGTGACTGACCCCGTTCCTCCTTCACAAAGCTGCACAACCCCATTTCTGAACATCTGTAAGAGTTTTCATGGTCTTTTTTTGCCAAAGGGAATTGCAGCAAATGTCCATCTCAGATGCCCAGACTCTGCCATGTTACAGCTGCTGTTTGATTGTTAAGGGTGTTGAAAGGAAATTAAATGAACATGAATTGTGTCTCTTATTGCAGAGACAACCAGACGGCAGTCAAGTAAATGAAATAATGTACATATAAGTATAGGACACGACCCAACCGTATAGTAAGCATTCCACGATTCCGTTCATTCATTCAGGACTCACATACTGAGTGCCTACTGTATGCAGGTGTTGCACCAGACGCTGGAGATTAATAGAGAGCAAGCTTATGTTCCAGATGGGGAGATTGAAAAAAAATTAATTCATAAATAAAGTAATTATTATAGATTGTGATAGGTGCTTATCAGGACATAAATGGGAGCAAAGATAGAAAATGCCTGGGGGTACCTACTAAAAGAGGGTGGCCAAGGAAGGACTTGGTTGAAAAGTGACACCTAAGTCCTGAGCTGGGGAATAAGAAAGAGCCAGATCTTCAAAGAACAAGGGGGAGAGCAGGTCAGGCAGGTGGAATCACAGGTACTGAAGCCTTAAGGTGGAAGGGACTTCAGCTTGACTAATGGACAGAAAAGAGACTGAAGAACACTGTGTTAGGAACTTGCAGAAGAGTGTGGGGCCTTGTAGGCCACGGTGAAGAATCTGCCCGTTCTTTTGAGATCAGCAAGAAAGGAGACATTCAAGAGATTTTGAGTGACGGCTCTGTCTGCTTTGTGGAGAAGGGAAGGAAGGATGCAGACATGTCAGTAGGCAAGAGAGGAAGGGACATGGACCAGGGTGGAGAGGGGTCGATGGCTAACAGAGGCAAGATACAGTTCTCATGCAGAGCCAGCAGGATGTGATGATGAATCGGGACTTCAGAGTCCCAGACAACTTCCAGTTTTATGGGGGCGGGGGCGTACATGTCAGTGGATCTATATGGGACATATGGCATTTGAGATATCTGTGGATGTCTAGGTGAAGATGATGAGCAGCGAAGTGGTCAAACGGACCAGGAATTGAGACTGGGACGTCATGACCAAAGTGGTAGGAGGAAAACCAAGGGTTGTGTCACAGAAACCAAGGGAGGAGACTGCCTTCAGTAAAGAGCCCTCCCTTTGAATGCTGTTGTCAGAGCAAAGAAGCTGAGGATAGAGAGGTGTCCGTGGGCAGCATGGCCATGGCTGGTGTCCTTGATGAGAGCGGTTTCAGAGGCATTATGGGACGAGATGTCAGCCTCTCCTGGGTAAAGGAGCACATGGGAAGTGAGGAAGTAAAAATAGAATCTAAGGGAAAGTCTTAGGAAAGTTTTGCTATGAAGGGGAAACATATGGACATGGGACTGAAGGAGGGGGTTTTGGTTCATTTGTTTTAAGATCAGAGATACCAGGGCATCATTGATGCTGATGAAACTGAGCCAGTAGAAAGGGAGAAATTAATGATGCCATATAGAGAGAGGAGGACTGGGGAGTAAATTCCTCGAGAAGGCAAGATCGTGAGTGTGGGAATTGGCCTTTGATAGAAGCAGGGATGATCATTCCATGTAACAGCTGAGATGAGGGAGAAGGTGAGCATGCCGCTGGGAGTGCAGACCTAGTGGCGGGAATGTGAGCATTACCATTCAATGGGTGACTCCTGTTCCTTCAGTGAATATGCAGTGAGGAAAAGTAGGAAATTTGGAGACAGAAGATATTAAGCCGTCATCTTGGATACTGGAGAAGGCGAGGTTCTGAGGAAAGGGCAGTGGGCTTTGCAACAGTCCTGAGTGCTCACCTGAGGTCTGAGAACATGAATCCAAAATGGACCGAGGTTTTCAAGTTGGGCTATTTTATTTTTCCCATCACCCATCTACTTGCCCACTAACCTAGAGAAGTTGAATAATTGGGTTCAACCAGAACTGAAGTTTTGCTGGTGAATAGATCAGAGGGAGAGAAGGGGACAAGGAGAGTTGAGGGCAGTTGCAAAAGAATGGTTACAATGAAAGAACATGTGTTGTATAAGCACAAGTAAGAGAAAGCTGAAGGATGGTGAGAAAATGGTAGTGGAATGAGGATCTCATTGAGTTTGAAAACTAGGGAAATGAGCTGATAGAGCCTCTGATGTCTTCTTAACCATATCAGCTCAGAAGGGACACACATCACTTCTGCCCGCATCAATCATACTTGAGGCAAAGTTGCTGGGAAATTCATTCCCTGGGGGTTGGGGCAGGGGGCTGCCTCTACTTTGGAGCAGGAGTGCCTATGTTTGGTGGACAATTGGCCCTCTCTGCCGTATTGCTCACGGTGGCTCGTGCTTTCAGGACTCTGTATGTATACTTCTGGGTACCATACCTGGGCCTGGACTGTCATCTGTTTGCCTTCTGACTGCCTCACCTCTCGGTTCTCTCATCACATGACCAATAACTGACCATTACCTGCCATGCAACCCATCACTTCTCAGAAAACAAAGCCTGAGTCAAGAGAAAACCTAGTCCTTCCCCAGTGCCAAAACCCAGGGAAGAAATTAAGCACGCCCAGAATTTGAAGCCATATTCATCACCTGTAAGCATCTATTTGCACTGTGAATATTTATCCAGATACTAATCAGTGAAACACAGTTTGGGTAGGACTTGTTATAACCTATCTGATAGGGAGTACAAGACTTAGAAATTCACGTTATTTCTGCAGTTAGAGTAGCAGGTGCAGTTTCCCTGAATTAGTCAGGTGTTTGAAGGAAAGATGGACTTATTTCCTCAATTATCCAGATAATAGGTTTGCTTTAGTGGAATGGACAGAAGCCTCAGAGCTCAAGGTGTTTGCAGAAGGGAATGTTTATCTGTTACCACAGCTGCAGTGGAGGCAGTGCTCATCCCACACAGGTCAGGAAGAGAGATACACCCTTAGCCAGTTTTAAAAGGTAACACTTATGAACAAGCGCAAACGGGGTGCTTTTCTCTTTTCCTTCACTCACGGACAGGGGAGGTAAACTCAGGCAGAGAGAAAATTGGCCTCAGTCTTGGACTAAATGCAAAGATCTGCTCGCCCTTTCAAAGGCTGAAAAGTCTACGTAGCAGGAGATGATTCAGAACAGCTCACCTCTGAATGGTTTGCAAGTGACAGTCCCTCAGCACTGAGAGGACCACCAATCTCACTGAGGTGTCAAGCTCAAGTACGGAGGCTCTGTTTTCCACTACCATGCAAAACCAGCCTTAGCTGATAAAAAGAGTGTGGTTAATTATTTGGACGTTACATATCTTTAAGTTCTACAAACTATGTGGCAAGAGAGTTCTTCAATTTCTTTTACTCACAGCAAAAAATGGGTGAAAAGAATTTAACTACAACTAATTATGCTTCATATAAAAAACATAATAGAAAGGTTAGCATGGAGGTTTATCTCACAGGCACAATATTTTCTAAATATGTCTATAATTCAAACATAAATGAAGAGATAATGAGATTTCTTAAAAACCCCTTGGCCAAGTTTTTTTTAACTATCATTCAAGTATTTTGGTGCCACTCATGCATTTCTGGAATGAGTCATTTTATATTGAAAGGATGTGTCCCCCTTTCCCAGGCCCCCCAAAACAAATACCAGTGTAAAATCAAAAGAGTGTAAGATGTGTACACAGGAAAGGTGTGCTTCACCTACGTGTCAGCTTCAGAAGCATCTGCCTTGCCTGGTGTGTATGGCATTAATTTCCTGACGCTTTTCTATTGAATGCCCCTCTGAGTCGCTTGAAATTGAAAATCAAGTCATGTTTCTTTAATCAGCCCTAGGAAACAGTGAAAGAAAGGGGTGGTGGAGAGGTTTCTTTTTATGAAAAGTTTCTAAAATCAACAAAGTCTAGAAGAAAGAGTATGTACAACTTCAGCCCATGAGTCTGGGATTCTAATCTCAGAGAGCATCTGTTCCTCAACATCCAGGTCAGTTAAGTATCTTCCTCCCTGTATTGGTTGTCTCTTGTTCCAATATTTAGCAGCTTAAAAAACAGACACTTAGAATTTCTGTGGATTGGGGCACAGCTTAGCTGGTCACCCCCGGTCCAGGGCCTCTCCCAGGCTGATCCAGTGTATCAGATAGGGCTGCAGTCATATCCAGGTGTGGCTGGTGGAAGACTGGCTTCCGAGCTCACTCGCTGGGTGAGGACTCCGTTTTCTCCATTTTCTTGAGGGCTGTTAGCCAGAGGGTACCCTCAGCTCCTTGCCATGTGGACCTCTCCATGGGGCAGCCCAACTATGGCAGCTGGCTTCATCAGAGCCAGAGAGTACTAGCAAGATGAAATCCATGGATTTCTGCTGCCTAATCTCAGTGACCCCCAATCACTTTTGCCTCATTCTGTTTATTAGAAGCAAGTCACTTGCTCCATCCCACACTCAAAGGGAGTGAACTGCACAAAGGTGCGAATTCCAGGAGATGGAATCACACTCCCCTCCAAACAGACATCGGTCCCTACCCATTTCTGTTGTCCCGATAGTGACAATTCCCCTTCGCTCTCTGGCGTGGCGACCTGTGTCTTTACTTTCTCAGATCTCCTTTTCAATTCCAGTGTCTCTCTTCTCATACTCATCAAAATATAATAAATACTCAGCTTCATCTTCTTAAAAGTTGTTGCCCTCCCTGCTTAAGAAGTCCAGTGGTTCCCCCCACCCCATTTCTTGCCTGAAAACATGTATTGAGGAGCTGTGTATCTGGAATTAATCAACTTTTCTTGCCCTTTGCTTTATACGCTGTATTTGCAGCCAAATTAGACTCTTACTAGACTTTGTGCCCTCCCCATGCTCTGTTGCCTCTCTGCTCAAGCTACAACTAACTTCTCCCTCTTTCCAGCTGCAAAAATTCTGGACAAGCCACAGAAACTTTCCTGTGAACTGTCGACGTAGAAATGGCTCATTTCTGAACACTTACAGCATTGCACATCCATTAAGCGAGGGTTACATTCCTCCTTATATACGGTTATCTATCTAATCTATATCTATACAATGCAATCATAGATATATGTGTGTATATAGTTGTATATATACATATGTATATATGTATATACATATGTATATATACATATATATGTGTATATATAAAAGATACAAAACATCCCTACTCCCCACTCTGCCTGCCAAAATGGAGTAAGGGAACAGGATGGTAACTTACTTCTCTTTCATACCCCACGGCATATACTGTAGCCCCTGGCATATAGCACCTGTTTGGTAAAATCAGATATGTCACTTAGTGTTGTGCTTTCCAAAATGCCTTCCCCACATTTGGGGAGTGGATATTGTTATTTTCATTTTATACATGAAGAAACTGAGACCTGGAAGGTTTACCTATTTGCTAACAGCAGACAGCGACAGAGCCCTGATTAAATTCCCGAGTTCCAAGGTATCGCCCAATCTCCCAGTGGCCTGGCCTATAAGCAGGAAGTGACTGGTTTGGGCTTCTCTGTTCATATTTGTTTTCTTCTTCTAAATGTAAAACCACCTAACTTGACCTGATTTTTTAATGGAACAATTCAGTCACTCACCAACCCCTACACTGTAATGAATATGCTACTCTTTGATTTTTTTCACCACTCCAGGGCAAAGGATGGAGTAGAACAGAGATTTTTTTTTCAATAAATAAATAAAAGACCATCAGGGCAGGAGGAGGGCCTGGATCTGCAATTCTTGTTCTTCTGTGAATTAACCATTTCAACTTACCCAAAAAAGCAATGTCAGGAAACATCATGTTTTAAAATGTCACTTTGTATGTCTCTTGCTGTCCCCTGATTCACTTCTGACCATGAGATGAAGTAAGGTGTCATGCAGCTCGTAGCCTGCACAGGTCAGGAATGTTCTAGTGACTTAGGATCTCTTTGCCAGATGCCTTGGCAGGAACCACAGGCATTTTTGTCAGGAACGTGGTGTGTGTGTGTGTGTGTGTCTGTCTGTCTGTTGGTGTGTGTGTGTCTGTATGTGTCTGTTCATGTGTGTGTGTTTGTGTGTGTGTGTGTGTGCGTGTGCATGCATGTTCACAGAAGGAAGAATAATTTAAAAGGGGGACTAAGGCATGAGGGATAATTATTTCTTTTTTTTTTTTTTTTGCGGTACACGGGCCTCTCACTGTTGTGGCCTCTCCCGTTGCGGAGCACAGGCTCCGGATGCGCAGGCTCAGCGGCCATGGCTCACAGGCCCAGCTGCTCCGCGGCATGTGGGATCCTCCCGGACCGGGGCACGAACCCGTGTCCCCTGCATCGGCAGGCGGACTCTCAACCACTGCACCACCAGGGAAGCCCAGGGATAATTATTTCTTAAACCCCACTGTCCAGACTCTACGGGCAACATTCTGAATTCAAAATGACTTTCAGTCAAGTCATCTTTGCACCTGGGAACTGTGAAAAGGATTGAAAGCTTCTAGAGGAAATGAAACTTGACCACGACAGGAAGTGACTTACAGCCCCAGAGGCTCAGATGTATTGACATAAGGTAGTGAAGTAGGAAAGAATTATGGTTGTCAAAAAGAAGTCGCTCTTGGCCTTTCTTTTATTGCAGTATGATGTGTGTGTCCTAGAATAAAACCCTGTAACCACAGTGCAAAATTGACATTAATGCAGCAGGCGTGGTTTGAATCCCTTGCTTTTGTGCATCTGACACTGAGGAAAGTCGAAATTTCCTCTACGACTTTTTCATCCTGTGTCAGTATTGTGGTTTCCAAACACTGTGTGAATCTGATTTTCCAAGTTGCAGGTGGGCGATGTGTTGCTTATGGCAGTGGCTGAAAGAATTATCTAGAGTCGCTGGGTTACTCGGAGACTGAGGCTGTGGCTGCCCAGTCCATATTAGAATCTTTTTTTGTACATGAATCGTCAGAAACCTTTATTCTCTAACATTTCTTCACTCCATTCTCCTTCAAGAACATTTCTTATTGCTCCACTTGAATTAGGGGCCTGATGTCCAGTAGCAGGTGATTATCCAAAAAGCTGAGCGTGAACTGTGTAGCTGGTATATGAACTGACTCAGAGTGGCCATGGCCAATTGGCAAATTAGATATAATTTTGACAAGTGGGTGGATCATTCATCTTAGCAGTGAGACATCTACATGCCATAGGAAGCTATTTTTATGTTACCTTTTGCCTGACATACTGCTGAGGTCTGTTTCAGGAGGATCTCAGGTTTAGCGAAAGTATGCTCCATCATTTCCTGGCGGGTGACTTCATGATACACGACACCATTGAACTTCACCTATTGAGCCAGGTCCCGTAACCCTAATAATTTCTACCACTGTTCTTCTCATGCTCCCTGGGTGAACTGCACTGATTCTGTTTCCCCTTTCAGCCCACTTCTTTCCCCCTCCTTCACCCAATCCCAGTGCTAGAGGAAAAACTTCTGATATCTTAAAGGGATGTCACATGATGACTTTTGATGCCACCCCTTAGATCCCACAAGATGTTTTCCTGTTCTGCATTACCAGCTGTTTGGAAGGAAAAGAAAAAAAAAACTGTAGAATAAATATATTTTCATCTACAAAGCATAGCACTGGCTTTGAATTTGACGTGAAGATGCAAATGGAAGGCAGGTTAAAAGTATATGATGTAAGGGAGAGGGTTGATAAACATGAAAATGGTAGCAAACCTTGTTATTTCTTAATCTGCTTGTATAGGAGAGAAAGCTATTTATATTTGGGTGAGATTGGCTTAACACCATGGGCCAAACTCTGGTCCCAAGTACGTGTGGCAAGCCCATGAGCCCTGGAAAAAAGCTGGCTTTGCCTTTATCCAAATATTAGTCATTTCTGGGTGGACGTTTTTAGGATGATCTTTTTGGAAAAGATGAATAAAATAAGGATGCAAAGACCTGGAAGAAAAGCCAAGTCTCACAGGGAACAGGGCTCCTAAGGCTCTTCCCCTCTCCCCACCACTGAGAGGGATGGGAACAGGCCTGAGTGGGAGCCAGCGGTGAACCAGCCCATTTCACAGATGGACCAGGACTTGGGAGTGGGTGCAGCCAGTTGAGGCGCAGCGCCTCCTGCTTCCCCATCCCTGGTTCTGTCCCCTAGACTGCTGCCACCAGACCAGACGTGAAGCAAGAGTGGGCCTGCTTGAACCCCTCCATGCCCCAAGTGGATGGACACGGAGGGACCACACAGAGTCCATTCTTCCCCAGCAAAGCAGTGATGTGTTCCAGGCAAAAACCCAATCTGGGATTTTTGGCCCAAAGGAAACATTTACAACCAAATCATACACCTCAGAAAACAAATGAGCTTTCATTTTGGAAGGAAATCCGGCCAGGCTCTTTATTATTTGCACCACAATCATAAAGTTGGTTTTAATCTCTATAGTGGAATGCTGCTGAGTTAGCCAACTGGCAGCTCTGGTGGCTTGAGTGCAGACCACTTCACCCTTAAGAAGGCGCGATGGGAAGCAGGGGGAACTCCTTCTCCTAAAACATTTTTCTCAAGATCCATATTTGTTTTGTTTTGTTTTATTTTGTTTTCTGGCATGGTCATTGCAACTTCAAAGCAGGCTCCTCTTTTCTTTCTCTTTTCCTTTATTCTCATTTTTGAAAACTCCTGGGGACTTCCAGAAAAAAAAAAAAAAGACTTATTGTAACATTTCCTTTCTAAATTGATGAAAATCCAGGAGTAGGTCCAAGAAAGTCTATAATGGATTTCCATTGGTCACTTGAAGGACATCAAAGCTCAGAGAGAACGGAAGGCAAAGGCTTAAGAAGCAAGTTCCCTTTTTCAAACTTAACAAAGAAATCGTGTGATTTAAGCCTGCTGGGAGTCTGCTCCCAGGATTCATACCATGAAATGACCTTGTCAATACAGCAACCAGGGGACTTAGGGCTTCTGGGATGGCCTGGGTTTCAAATATTTTATACCATGATCAAATCAGGTGCAGGGTAATATGTCCTGATTTGGGGTTTGGATTAAGGAAGTTTCTCTACCAGCGTGTGAGGATGTGGCTAGTCCTTTCAGTTAGGAAACTCCCTGGGAAGAGATCCGAGAGGATTGAGCTTACAGAGAATTTTGTCCTTGCACCGAAGATGTTAGGATGCAGTCTTTGCGGCACGTGTCATTTCACAGAGCTGAGGAGGAGCTGCCGTGGGCCAGGCTTCAACGCCCACCATTCAGGCCAATCGTGTCAACACAGTTAAAACTCCTATGTTGTCCCCAAACTTTGCTGCACATTGGAGTCCCCTAGGGATCTTTTAAAAGTGCTAGTACCTGGATCCTACCCAGACACCTTGATTTAAATGGCGTGGGGTGTGACCTGGACATCAGGAGGTGAGCAAAGTTTAAGAACTGCCGCTGGAGACTGTAAACCCCATGAGGGCAAGGACTGTCCCTGTCTCCCCTCTGTTGTATTCCCAGCACTTGGAACAGAGCAATTGGCTCTCAGTAATTATATGTTGCATGAATAAGTGAGTAAGTGAATAAGGTTTCTGATGCTTATCTGCCCACACACCATCAAAATAAATCCCAGCTAATTAGATGATTTCAGCACATAAATATTTGACATGGTTGAGGGTGGAGTGTGGCTGCAGTTCAAGGTCTTCCTTGCCTCCATCTATTTCACCCTCTGCTTCCTCCTACTTATAGCATCCTGAGAATGATTGTATAGCCTCTTCATGGACCACTTTTAATTTTTGCGATCTCATAACTTAGGACCATTGATGGCTTTGTGTTTTTCATAGGTCAGGAATTTATACCTGAGCTACCCTGCTCCTTGAATTTCCCTGTCTCTCCCTGTAATCCTTTAACTCTCCAGGGATGGATCCATGCAGGTCTTTGGCAGCCACACCATGGGGGCATCCTTCACCCAGCAGCTGGACGTTCAGCACTTGTTCTCTTGTTCTGATGCTCAGGGTTTCCACGTCCCCCTCCCACAGACACTGAATGCTGGCACTGGATAAGTCGGCTTTTACTGTAACTATGTTTATGGAGACTGTCAGTTCTTAACCTTAAAACTGAACCATGCTGTTTGTATTTTTCCAAGTGATGGAGAGTGTGAAGGACTAATGAGAATGGAGCGTGAAGAGATCAAACGTGTGCCGGGGAATCTTTCTTCAAGACCTGGAACGAGCGAAATTCTGCTTGGGGGCAGGGGCGAGGATTCCGAGGACAGGAATCTTCTATTCCTGGGGCTTTAGGCCTGAGATCATGATCCGGCAGAGAGAGAGCAAGGTGTGAGGGAGGGAGGGAACCAGGACCGGGCAAAAGATGCTTCCTTTCTCTTTGGAAAAGCTAGAAACTATTTCCTTTGGTCAGAGAGGGAACAGATCCACTTGTAACAAACTGTCTCCTGACCTTCTGGAGGCTGCTTTCAAAATCAGGATTTTGAAAGAAGCCATTCATAAGTTCATGAAATGGGCCAAGGTAGAGAACTTTCTGCCGACAGCGTGCCTTTTCTGTAGGCCCTGGGGAGGGTGTTTGGAGCTTTTAGTGACTGAATACCCAGGGCTCTGGTTAAAAATGGGTTTGGCTCTATCTAAAAACCAGTGCTTCTATGTGCAGACGTGGAGAGTGAATAGGAAAGATTTGGAGTTCAAGCAGACACATGGCGTTGTCAATGAACGAGGGATAAATTTGCTAGCGGAGAGCAAAGCTCTGGTCGCTACATGAGCCTTTCCAGTTGGGGCCTGTGTGACTTGTTTGAAGAGACCATTTTGTAGGGGTGGATTCCTGGCAGGAGTGGACACTGCCTACAGGGACTTCAGACCCCCAGGGTGAAGGCGTCCATCAGGCTTCTGTTTGCCGGAAGATCACCCTGAAGAACCAGGAACAGGTGTGCAAGTTGGTGACTGAACGCTGTCCCTTCAAGAAGGAACCTTTGGCTTAGACGGTGACTGAGGTGGATGTGTTGGGGACAGATAGATTTTGCTTCTTCAACTTCACACGAGTCTTTGCTTAAGTCTCCCAGAAAACTGCAAGTTAGGGGTTGGATGGTCTCTGATTGATCCTTGCCAATGGGTTTGCGGGTGGAAGGGCTTGATGGGCACCATGGAGCTCTCAGGTGAAAAAGGAGCCATCTGCAAACCATGGGAACAGGCACCTTGGCATCGGGACACCTGGAGAAACTCTTTGTCCGACTCTCTACCTCCCACCATCTCTCTTCCACATATCTCAAAAACTGATGGATAATTTCTCTCTCTTAGGCCTGCCTGAGGGCCCCCTTCCAGGCCTTGTTTAATCCTCTGCCAGCCCCCTGAGCTAGAAAAGTTTATCCAGTTGCCAATCAGGACACAAGCCTGTCCTTCCCCACGGACCCATGCAGCTTGTTCGGAGACAGACACACAGTGAGGGAGAAATCAGCCAGAAACCCTCTGGTGCCCCATGGGGGGCACTTGCTACCCAAGCGAGCATGATGAGACAGGAAGGCACGGATGCCGGGGAAAGTGGGAAGCCAGTCGAGTTGTGTGGTTCACCCTCCATCTTCGGGGCTTGGTCTCTTCACCTTGTGTGTTGGTGTCGAATGTCACTT